TTCACAATATAACTGTTTTTACTGTATTTTTGATCAAATAAATGCTGCCTTGTGACAAGTTTATCCACAAAATCTGTCCAGCACCTTGGTAGCATAGTTTTGGAAAAAACTTGTAGAAATGCTATAAAACCAGCCAATCAGAAAATGGAAATCTTTAGATTTTTCCATTTTATAGGTATCAGATGTTTCATAAACAGTCCATGGAAGCGGTGTAATTTATTCAGCATAAGCAGCTGGGGACCTAGTACACTTTGAGAATGGAGATTAGGATTTGGGTTTCATTCACCTGCTCTTTGTACTGGTCAGCATGGCGACGCTCATCCTCCACTTGCATGAACACCTCCTTGAGTTTCTTCTCTGTGCGACGCACAGTCTTATTGGCTGCAGCTCTCTCCCTGTGAAGCGCACAGATCATACACCATTGCCAAAACACGAGTTAGTGCCAATGGTTTTCGTTCAGTCAGAACGTGGCATTAATTGGTTTCTTTACACGGTTGCTTACTTTGCTTCCTGTTCAAGCTGCTCCTCTAGCTGGATAATCTTGGCCTCCAGGGCGGCGATAGAGGCCTTGAACTTTGATTTGATGGATCCCTCAAGTTCCTGCAGTTTGGCCTTCAAATCTTTGTTTTGCCGCTCCAACTGCTGACGGGCGTTCTCGCTCTTCTGGGCGGCACTGCGCTCTCCCGCCAGCTCTGTGTTCAGGGTATCCACCTGAAATACAGACACAACAGCTGTGACTAAAGACGTGATGTGTCAAATGTAGCCAAGAATGCTTATGAAGATGACAATTAGACATCTTGCAAAGATCACAAGCACACAGAACTTTGAGAGCAGGCCATGATGACAAGTTTAAGAGTGTTGAAAACATAGCTTGATCATAATTACAGCAGCTTCCTCAACACCACACCTGCATAGTGGTCTTGCGGAAGCGGTCGTTCAGGAGCTCCATATTGCTCTGTTCCTCCTCTAGCTCTTCCTCCAGCTGGGCAATACGAGCCTCCAGCCTCCTCTTCTCATCCAAGAGGGCTGCCCTGAAGAAGTGAAAGTTAGAAAGAAAGTTAGTTGCGACTTCCGGTTCACACGGACTTTGAGAGGTTTGCAGCACAATGACTCACTTTCCAGAGGCACTGTTGGAAATCTCATCTGCAAACTCGTCTCTTTCCTGTTCAGCGTGGCGTCGGGCTCTCTCTGAAGATGCCAGGTCCTAAAATCACAACCAAACCATAAACAAAGACTCGCCAGTTGACCTAATCCAACTTAAAACTGTGTAGAAAAACAAGCAACAGATTCTTCAGAAAGGCTTTTTTCAAACAGACGTGTATTTCAGTGTCGGCTCACCTCTTGCAGCTGCAGAATCTCAGCCTCGAGACTCTTGAGCTTCTTCTCGTTCTCCTTAGACTGAGCGAAGATCTCATCACGAGAAGCGCGCGCCTCCTCCAGCTCCCTCTGGTAGTCCTTCATCTGGGCCTGGATCAAAACAGAGAGATGTTGCCATCTGTTCTTCTCCCATTTTGTCATATCACTATACTGACTATGACCTAAAATATTAAGTCTCAGTAATGCAGTCAATGATGTAGACATCTGTGTCACTAGTAAAAGGCAGATGCACTTGGAGCTTGTGAGGATAAACAGATTTTGCTAACAAGTCATTTCTTGCATTATCTTTACATTTCTGTGCATGAACAGCAGCATTCTGGAAAAGATTCTACCTGGAGTTTGCGTAGCTGTTTAATGGCTTCATCACGGGCCTTGTTTGCAGCCTCGATCTGCGCTTCCACATCTTTGAGGTCCATCTCCAGTTTCTTCTTGGCAGCTACAGCAAGAGCTCTCTGCTTCCTTTCATCTTCAAGCTCTGCCTCCATCTCACGCACCTGAAGGAACAGGAATCATGGATCAAAAACCT